GAATTTTATGTTAATAAAAATATGGAAATACAGACACAGGACAAAAATTCCATTCTGATGTACACAGTGAAAAGGCTTTATAAAGGGTAACGAGCTATAAATGCTATAATGCTCTTTTTTGTTACGTTTACTCCCTGTCAAAAGTACTACGCGCACCAACCACGTGACCGACCTATTAAATATTAGGTACCAGGTCAGCCTGAAACCTGTAAAGTAAACCGTTTCACAATTTCATGTTCCCAAAATAATTCCGAAAACAACATTTTGCCCCAACGAAGCCCTAAATCGTCACAAACTGGCCCATGTTCAACAATAGGTTCGAAAATTCCTGATGTAAAAGTTTGTTTGCCCCGAAATAATTGGAAACAATACAAATGTACAATTTTGTTTAAAATTGGAAGTTGGTTACCATTTCTACGGATTATTCTACTTACAAACTTTTCTATAACTTGTTTGCTATTTCGAAGCAGGCCTCGTGTTTCTAAAAATACAAGACCATTTTTTCCGGGATGAAAATACCCTTTATTATGGCTTTTTCATTCAAAGTTCACGTGATAAAGTGAATAAGGACGTAAAATTTTGATCGCTTAATTAAGCACATTCTATTTTGGTACCGAAAATTTCGAAACATTTTTATTAACATCAAAAGTGCCTTACTCTTGAAGTGACTTTGAACGTCATAACTTTTTTGATATTGCCTCAAGTCCCCAATAAAAATTAATTATTTACTCTAGCATTCATTACTTTCAGGACAAAAATATAGGTTTTGAAGTGTTGTTGTTGGCCCGACGATGTCAATCACAGACGGTCTGGTTTCATTTAAAGTGCGGAAACTTTGGAGACTTTAATTTCTGTCAAAATTTCTTATTAAAGATATTGGGCAGATTTGACTGACGATGTTTTGGCGGCCATCAACAAGAAATATTTGTTTTTTTTTATTGTAAAACTCTATTAAAAATACGCATAGATTGACTACCGCCCTGGGTCATACATCATACTGCCATTTAAGATTGCTCAGTCACCATGGTGATATTATGACTACTTTACTACATTGTTTAGGATTAGGAAAACACACCATTGGCATGAAAAAATAATTTTCTAGAGCAGGATTTCCCAAACTATGCAAACATAGAGTGGGCTCTGCCTGTAGAACGACACACCACCCTACCTATCCAACCACTGGGCAGCGGGAAAAAATCCTATAGGTGGGTCCCGAGTTTGGGAACATGTATTAGATGAGCCGTAGCCAGCGTTGCCAGTTTTTTTTTTCGCCAAGTCGGGACTTTGGTACTTTTTGAGTGAAAATAGCGTGATTCTTCCGTCAAAAGCGGGACATAGTAAAAAAACGTATTATAATCAAAGGTTTTCAAATTTATTTTTTTATTTGACTTAAAATTACGTTTACGTGACAATAGATAGCAAAATTAGCCATAAATAATGTATTTTAACAAAAAATAATATTTTAAATCAGATTTACTCTATCGTTTAATTCGTCTTTAGAATAAAAAAAAATCAAAAATCGAAATTAAAAAAGTTTTATTCTTTAGAATAATATGGCGTTTCAAACAATAGTCAGTGCCCTGCATGCCTCTGGTGAAGTGAGTGTCTCTCTCCGAAAAGCGGGACCGAGCCTGTCCCGCGCGGGACATTTAAATTTGATTAAAAAATCGGGACGTCCCGCCAAAATCGGGACGTCTGGCAACGCTGGCCGTAGCCCAGACAACTTTGGGAACCACTGTTCTAGAGTATTTCCAAACTTAAATACGTGTAGGTAACTATTATACAATTACGTTGTAATAATACATAAGGGATTCCATCGAGGACCGCCGGGACCACAACACGCCATCGGCATGTGCCAAAGCATTCCAGCCACGCGCCAGTGCATGCGAGGGAATGCAGGAATCCCGTGGCCGCGGGATGCGGTGTCCGGGACCGTGTAGGGACACGGGAATAGGCGCCGCTTTATGAACTGGCAATCGCCGCGACTCTGTCTATTGGGTTGGAAAATTTATGAAAGGTTTCGTTAGAGGTAGGCATCGAATGTTTCTGGGAGTAGAACTTGATATAGTTTGAAATCGACGCCTCTGGGATTATTTAGACATATTTTTATCAGTTTATTTAGAAATCATTGCTTTGCGGTTATTTTAATAATTAACACATTGATGGACAGTAATGTCCACAGTCGTTCAGGTAGTAAAGGATGATATGACAGAACGCCAATAGATCTCATAGTTTTTACTCATTTTACATTGACACTACTCACATAGGCAATGTATGTGAATAAGTAGAGTCGTATTGGGAAGTAATTCTTAACCACCAAAGTGTCCACCAAAGTGTTAAGTGTAAGATAAAGAAATTTATTCAGTACCTATCAAAATTGGGAAGAAACAGTTCAAAAAGTGTATAAAATAAAATTTTGCTGCAACAATAAATTGACAGAATTCCGTTCCTTCGATTACTTTACGATAATCCTACATATAGATTGCTTACTTATTTGTAAAGTTTATAAATGTCGTTTATCAATAGAGCCGGTTAAAATTGTCATCTTATAATGAAAGTCCAATATTTAAAGTACCTCAACGATAATTTGGCACTTCAAAGTCCTATTTCTTAAAATGCACGAGTAGCATGAAAATTTAATATGTTCGAAATTTTCTAGGATCCTAAAGGAATCTCGTTAAAATCCTGCATGCTCTTCATAAGGATGTGTCAAAGCGTTCCCGTGGGCACCAGTGCATGCGCGGGAATTTAGGAACACCGCGGGACGCTATACATTCACTTTGCGTCTTAATATGAGTGTCGTAACACTACAATGAACGCCAATTTTCGTCAAAGAAAATTGCTAATACATGATTGCAGCTTTTTTAAAAAAAAAACAAAGATTTGATTGCTTATGGAATTCTTGAAGCTCGTAAGTCAGATGATAATGCAATAATATGGTGTATGAATGTGTCGAAAAATTACAAAAGAAAGCATTTAATACTGCTAATTGAACAATGCCCGCCTGAAAATATAATTTTCAAGCATTCAAAAGATAACCAAGTATTTAGCAAAAGACGCGTTTTTATGAAGAACCGGAAAATTGGCAAATTGTAGCATTGGAGCATCAAATATTTTTTATCGCAGGTTACTGTTTTGGATAATTAACTTTGGTGAAATCAGAGCTTCAGGATTATCCATGTAATTACCTTGTAGTATTAATAAGCATCTTAGATCAAGTATTATTATGTAATTAAGATTATCTCGTGTATAATAAATCATCTATGTAATCCTTGCTAGTATCAGTGGTATCAGGTGCTTAGATTTACCTCGATATTGTACATATTACCTCAATACAGCCTCCACATAATCTAGCTAAAGAAACATCTTAATATTAGTTTTAATAAAAAAGTTTGTTCCTAAGACCGTGATTCGACACAAGCGTCGCTTCTGTGTCCTGAAATTAATCGGAAGACACTTAAAATATACGTACTTAACTATCGCATTTACTCGTACAATATTAGTTTGGATAATATTTCTGTAGGACAAAATTTAACCTATTATAGGTACCTAATTATATTCTGGCCACTGTGTGTAATACCTAAGTAAAATTGTAAAATAATACGGTTATACTGTATGAGAATCCAAGATCTTCCCGTAACCTTCACCAGATCGTCGGTCCACCTAGTGGGCTGACCACGCTACGCCTTTTCGAACGAACGTACGAACTAGGTAGATCAGATTATCGTGTAGCAATATATTTTCGTCTAGGTTCCCAAGTTGGACCTACCTAGCCTAATGTGAGTGACCGACGACCCACACAAATAGAGCACGAGATGACAGCCGCAGGGACTTACATATACAGGGTGTTTTAAAATAACTTTTGCTTCTTTCTTGTGGCGTGTAATAACTGAATTTCTTTGGTCAGTCAGATATTAAACTAGCAAAAGGTTTATTTCTTGTAGGCTGTATTAACTGAAGTACCAAGGCCTACAAGAAAAAAGCTAAAAGTTCAGGTGTTCTGTCTTGTAGGCTGTAAGTATTGACTGAATTTCCAGGCCTTATAAGCCAGTCAGATGTTTACCTAATCGGCCTAACTTGAAGTCCGGAAACGTTTAAAAACCTTTAAACTTTACAACGTGTTTATATGCACATTAATTGTAGTAAAAAATAGCGAAGCATAAAAGAGTTTCGCAATTTCGGAGTGGCTTAATGGAACTCAAACTTTTACAACTGTGATATTTGAATAAACTCGTACTTGGCTAAATCAGGGAAATCTTACGTTAACAGTTCCATTCTGTATTCCATAGCTGGTGACGCCTGCCTAAAGCAATCCGTACTACACCAGAATCGACCCCAAATGTAAAACGGCCATATATTCAAACGTGACCCAGAATAAGTTTTGGCTTTCATATACTTCTATTCGTATACAGCTAGTCGCATTCACTGTGCATTAATTGCGTTCACTGCAGTGAAACTGCACTTGAAACTTGGGAAGGTCAAGGACTTTTTCCAGATGAGATCCAAAGATTTTTTTCATCGGTATCGTTAACGAAAATGGAACTCGAAGTGTGTCAATCGATTGGATTTCGCATTTGGCAACGGCGTGTTTACTTTTCCATGACGCTGGAAAGTTCACTTATAGGTTGATGAGCTTTCCTCAGCTTTCAATTTTCGTTTATTTTACTTTCTTATTCAGTCAGGTAGAGTTGTGTTGGATCTTTTTTGGGATAATAAAAACTTGCGAAAAACTTGCGGATTAAAAGTTTCGAAGTTGAAGCGAGGCTTTTAAAGTCACGTGTCTCAAAAGTACGCTCTAATGACGTGGGTGCATATCGGCGCGATCGGCGATAGGGCACGCTTGCGACAAGTTGCGGCGGGAAGGTCTTTGTGCGGCGGGCTCAGGGCGGATCGTAAGAATGCGGCGTGCGTGCGGCCTGCGGCAGGGAGGGGGGCGCGGGGGATGCGTCGTGGCGCGGGCAAGCGCGCGGCCGTACCGCAGTAGCGTGCAGCCGCCGCGGCCGCTACCCGGCAACCAAGCCCGCGCGAGCCGCCACCACCGCGCACGAAGGCTAGTCACACACCACAACAGACTACACCTGTGCTATACCCAGTGGGACGGAGCACGGCCGCACCAGCACGGGGTAACGTCCCGCTTTGATTGCAAAAATTTTTTTTAACCGCGTTTTCGAATGCCAACCGCCCCAATGTTATTATGCCGGATACACCGCGCCAAAGTTATATAAATGGTAATCGTATAAGAATACCATGTTCCGCTGCCGTTTGGTTTATGTCTTCAGATAAAAACTGAATGTCTGAGTTGGAGGTAGGTACGTGCGGTTGTAAGTTGTGAGGAAGTTGGCCCAGGAAGGCCGAGGCCGCTCCGAAGCGCCCTGAGTGACAAACGGTTTGACGCAATGTCTCCACGCGATATTAACTGCAGCGCAATATTTACACCTTTAAGTGATCAAACCAATTTGTTTTAATTAAATTTAGTGTGCGGTGATATTTGAAATGCCGCCAAAAGCGCGGGGCGAACATCATACACCGAGATAAATGTCACCAAAATGCCCATTAAATTAAATATAGCCCCTACGTCATAATTTAACCTATATTTTAGATTTGTCCTTTTTATTAAAATAAACATAATGTTTGTTCGTTTGTTGTAATTTATTATAACTATCGCACTCGATGACACGTCGTTTATTTTCGCTGCGGGAATTACCTTTAAAATATATTTCTAGCTGGAATTGAAATTAGTTTCATATTGTGGCGTGAAAACGTGGATGACGTAGGCAAAAGCCGTGGACTTGATAAAGGCTATTTATTGGTGGCTGTCAAACCCGTGGAGTTGTGTCCAAAGATTTGGAAGTGGTGAAAAAAAAACGTATTTACCTTCACACGTCGTCGCTGACGCGGTCATAAACTTCACGATAAACTATATTGGATAAAATTTATAAAAAAGCGACGTTTAAAAATGTTCCGTGTAATATCTTCGATAACAGACACCTACGATTTGATGATGAAGAGCTGTTATTAAATAACGTTGGAAAGTTATTTCATTTTGTTGATAGTGGAGTTGATAGTTCTGGACTAATAGCAGCGTTATGAAAGCTTGCCTACAAAGCGACGCGATTAAGATGTAAATGAAAGAAAAATGTAAAAGAGAGTCAACAGAATCTATTACCAGATTTCCTTTGTCCGTTTTCAATATTTCCAACGAAAGCGTTGTGTCTATTTCGAAATCTTACCGTTTTGTTTGCGAATGCAATACAGTTGGTTATTGAAGTCTTCAAGGACTTGATCAAGATAATATTGTAGATGTTTAATTGTACCGGTTGACTCTATTTTTGTGATTAGAATCTCAAAAATTGTTCAAACATTTTTAATTTAAACAACACAAAAGGATCAATGGACATTCCACAGAAGTAAATGAACTTTCAGTATACTCGTATAACCAAAAGTAAAATGAGATTTCAATTGACTTAACGATTATAAGATTAAGTTACTGAAAGAGAGACATTCAATTGAAAATAGCCAATAAATGGATGAGAACGTTATTTCACTGGCTCACGATAGCTTAGAGATATTAAATATCTTTAATTTTAATCTAGAGCTAAATCCAAGCCTAGACCTAAGGTTCAATCTTACTTGACTCCAATTGAGATATCAAATACGGACGGAATGACAGCTAGAAGTTTCAAGTTTAAATCCAATCGTGGTAATACTGTGAAAGTGAATCCAAGATTTTCTCAACATTAAGTGAAAAATACGAAAACGAATGGCATCATTACTTTTCCCCATTCGTCGAAAGAGGCTTTGAGTGGAATTTCAGAAATTTACGAATACGTTTCAAAGTTTTTGAAGATTACTTGACTTTGTTATCTCACTGGTCATACTCAAAGGTCGAATTTTCTTCGCCTTCGGATTTCTTTGTCTGGTTTACCCTTCGCCTCTTGGTTGTAAAATATTAAGGTCCGCTATGGATTTGTTACGAGTGCCTAAGCTTCCGGATATAAATGAACCCAATATTTTGTATCCCCCAACAGTCTCCATCGTTCTATTCATTAAATTACAAGGAAACAATTTATTAACAGCAAATTTCATACAGTTGAGATCTGGGGCGTTAATTAAAATTTTCATTTCTTTCCCTTGAGTGCAGCTTGAATTGGGTCTTGTTGGTTAGTTTATAGAGCTGTATTTTCATTGACCCCTCTACCAATTAGCGCGAAGAGTTAGCTTTTTATGGATTCCAACATTTGACGGTACGGGCTCAGTGTGGTGAGTGAAAAAGAACTGGAACCATAACATAACATTTGAATAGGTTAAATTGGATTATTTTTTTTTCATTTATTTGGGAAGACAAACAGCTTCACAATATGTAGAATTATAAATAATATTACTTACTTACTAGGATTATAATTGTGAAACCAAACACGTCTTCCACATATTACACAAAGGAGTAAATTACGATGAGTGTGGAAGGTAATATAATTTTCTGTCTCAGATTATGAAGGTAAGGCTAACTATATTAAAAATTAATTACAAATGACACTAGTCAATTAAGTACAATCGCTCAAAAACTAGCTTCCTAAAGGCGTTCTTATTATTTGCTAATAAGTATATATTACCAACAGCAATGGAGATGAGTTTCACACTACTTATACGTTACCAAGTATACCCTTATAATAGCTTGCGGTGGTGCCAACATATCGATGATATTGTATCCTTAAATGGTCGACAGGAAAGACATATTATAAGTGACCGATTTCTGATCTTAAATTCAAGCTATTGCAATCATAGTAGTCCAATTTACGCCAGTTCTTGTTCTACTTAATACCCATAAAGTCCAATTTAGAACGCAGTTACAAACTTGGCTAAGATGTTACTATTCGGACTAACAAACTATGAAATCACATTTTCCGTGTGACTGCTATCATAACTGTAACTCAGTAGAAACGTCGACAATGTGGACCAGCAAGGACGAATCTCGGGACGAAATTTTTATTCTGAAACATTTATGACAATTTCTTTACATAAATAGTGGCTGACACCCGTATTCACAAACGATGCTTGCTTAAGAGCGTTTACGTCGTTTGGCGCAAAAACAGTACTTTTTCAACTCGTTACAATCATTAACCAGTAATACTACAAATATGTTATAGGCATAAATAGTTAGGCAATTTCGTCGTCTAAATAGTTAATTGAGAAAATATTGCGATTAGTTTAGTATTTAAGAATTCTATCAAGATAAGTCCACACAGGTTTTGTAAATTTCCACTTTAGCGTCAGTTTACAAGCTGAAATTTTTATAAAAATACTGTGAAAACGATTTAAAAAACATTTATATCCTATAGCATAGATCCTTGGGCAAATAAAATAGTTATCTGAGAAAATTTTTAGATTTAAGCATTTTACAATAAGAAATCACAAATTAAAAGAACGTGAAATACCCAAAAATCAAAGTGATTTTTTCACCAATATTCTTCTTTTATTCAACATAAAAATAGCTTAATATAATAAAACAACATCATCTTTAAAATATTTACTTTGAAACGATATTTAATTCATTGTTATTGTTTTGCTATAAACATTTGAAAACTATTAAAAAACGCCGCGCGCGAATCATTTCCAATGATGCCCCTTGAAACGCCGCGCTTCGCGTAAACGCTCTTAAGTGAAGCAGTAAATCGGACACACGGCATTGAATAGAGCTCTAGCTCTGTGATTCTTTTGTGTGTCACCCTGTGCGTCCACGCGCACTGTGAGACCTCATAGTAATGTTTGTGAATACGGGCGTGAGTTCCTTGCTTCTTCCCAGCATTACTGTCCCTAAGCAGTGGTAGGGTTGGGACACAGTTGGGACTTGAAGTGCTCTTTATGAGCCTACTTGTATAAATACACTATTTGATTTGATTTCATAATCATTTTGCAAACATGTTTGCTTAGTTCGGGACTGGATGCGCAGTGTAAAATATCCACACTAAACATGTTCAAAATGATTTAAATATTCATGTTGCAATATTATTTAGACGAGGAAATGCAAGCGATGATAGTCGTATATTGCATTGTATACTCGTATAAGGTATTTTTGGCTATGGCTATGGTTCGACCTTGACCCGGAATGCACCCAAACTCGAACAAAGCTACTAAAGATGTAAGAAACGGGGAAAGACGTGAGGTTTTATTATATTTTTCTTTATACGGCCTGCATTATGCATGCGAAGTTTTTTGGAATACTTCCAATTTTTTTCAAAGGATTGCTCTCCTAGAATTTTAATATACTCGTATATTTTAAAATGCTACACATTGGACTTTTTTTAAAGGAAAATTAAAAGGACATTCTTATAAGAAGTATTTATTTAGGAGTTGGTATTACGGCCAGTAAATTAACCTTGGCACCTTTGTTTTTGTATTAATTTACTCGTATTTATTATAATGAATGAGACAGAATACCAAGACATATCTTCCGTGACAATACTTAATTATTAGAGTATGTTTTGCTGTAATTTATTCAGCGAAAACTTATTTAAATACAACTTATAAACGTAACCTACACGCGCCGCTTTTCAAGTTTAAAACCTTGTGAATGGCAGTCATAATAAAATACAGTTAGACATAAACACTAGCTTGAATGGTCAATAACAATAATTACGTCAGAAGAAATAATAAGTTTCAACGGAAAGTTGAAATCGATTTCATTTCTTTCGCTCGGTGCAACTTCATTGGAGTTTCAATAAAACGGCAAAAACTTCAATGAATAAATTAATCAGTTTAACTTCAGGTGTTTTAAAGGTTTTTCGTGCTTTGGAAGCTGCAGAGAAGTGGTAGGAAATTGGGGTAATGCGAAGATTTGCTTCTGGATAGAATCTTTTGATATTTCCTATTCGTTACGTACTTAGTTCAAAAATCAAACATATTGCCTAGTCTGGAACTTCCCTACTACTATTTTAAATGCGAAAGTAACTCCTTGTCTGTAACGCTTTCACGCTTAAACCATTGAAAGGATAGAAATAGTTTGAGGGGAAAGGACATAGGATAGATTTTATCCCGGTTCTTGAAATAGGGATACGCGCTATAGTTTTTCAGTGTGACAGACAAAATTGCACGCGGGTGAAGCCATGAGAATAAGCTATACTATGAA